TGGGGGCCCCTCTGTGCCTGGTGTTACCCTTCCCACTTCCTCCTGAGGGAAGGGCTTGTGTGGAAGGGGAGGGACATAAACTGGGATTAGAACAGCAGCTGGTCACCTACACATGTGGAAGCATCTTACTATTCACCTGCATATGTTTATATTTATGAGGGAGTTAGGATTAGGGAGACCCTGCAGGGGATGAGCCCCACACCATTTCCATGCCCTTCCACCTCTGCCCACCACCTTCTTTAGCCCTCTGGGTCCTAGTGCTTGTTGGCCTCTTTTAGCTCAAACGAGAGACTCTGACGTTGGTTATTTGTACTGTATTTCAAATTAGGGCAGGTGCTCTTCTTAATTATTATTTATATACTTTTTAATATTGCTTTATTATTTTATTTGATTATGACTTAGAGGGTTTTATCTAATGTTAAGGTTATACACCCTTTTCAGATCTCCTGAAATCCCAGTGCACAAGCACTCGGGCTTTTAGCTGTTTTTTTTTTAGGCTGACCCTTATAAAATTGCCAATATTCAGTAGTTTTTGTCCAACAAAATGGCAGTTTAATAGAGTCCAACCAAACAGCACGCTAGTGTCATGAATTTTCCTTCTAGGAATCAACTGAGTGACCATAAAATACTTATTAAAAGTCAAAAGGCCAATTTTAGATTCTTGTTTTTATTAAGGAAAACTATAGATATGTTGTGCCCTTCCCTCCTCCCGTTGCACACAGTGATAACTGATCCCACCTATTATTTGTCAAAAGTGTAGAGGGAGAAACTTTTAAAGCACATCCCTTCCCCAGGTCAGCAGAGCCACATTTAACTATTACAGGGGAACAATTTTCTGAACCATCTTTTACTTCTTTCATTTATCCACTCTGGAGTAGGAATTTTTTTTTAATGAATTTGAGTTCTCCTTCAAGATGGAGTGATAATGAATAAAATCAGACTTACTCTTCTCTGCACAGAGCTGGTTGAGGGAAGACAGAGGGATATTAGAGACCATGTTGTTAACCTGTAAAGCAATACATATGCCGATATTAGGTCAACCACAAGGAGTTACACGTTTCTCCCTGGCTGTCAGTGAAGGCGGAGCCATCACAACTCCCTGACGATGAAAAGTGTGTTTACCATTGATTTTCTAATGTGTTGGTGGAAATCTTGTCAGCCACTGTCAACTTTAAAACCGCCTGTAATTACACTTACTGCAAGAGAGATTCTAATTGTGTATTATGTGCCAAAGCCTTGTCCCCAAATGCTGTTTCATGGGAAATAAGAAGGGAGGCCAAAGCAATCGCTAACATAAGGAATGTGTTAGGCTCCCTGAAGAATTTTCCTCCAATTGATGAGTTAGATGCCATACGCCTTCGATGGAGGCCGTCTTAGTCATTTACTTTTATACTGGAGTGAAAACCTTTCATGTGTGGGATAAGTTCAACATTGGGAGTATTGTCAGTGGAATTACTAAAGTTCAAACTCTAAGCTGTCTGCCAAGTTATGTCACATTTTTGAGGTTATAGACACAGGATACTCTATTGATGTAACCAGAGAGTTCTGATTCCCTGTGACTCAAGACTGTCTTAGAGATTACACTTAGCATATATTACTATTTCTTCCACTCCCTTGGTACTTAATCAAAAGTACCTTGTGATATATCTTGTTGTGTTAATTTTTAAAATTTCTCTTACATTGTAAATCCAGTGAGAGAAAAATCCATGTGCTCTACCCCAGATCACCTCATTCAGTGCTGGACATAAATACATGTCTGTTGAGTAATAAGTGAACCTTCACTCACAATTAGGACTCCCTACAACTCCAAGAACCCAGGATTGGCCACAAGTTAGCACTCTTGCTAGGAGGTATTGGTTTGAATACTGGATTCAAATTCCAGGCATTAAACTCGATATTTTTCTCAAAGTAATGGGGGATTTTGAGGAGCAAATGCAAAGAAAGTTTTCTACATGTGGACATTACAAAGAGGCACACAGGCTCCTTAACCAAGGTTAGATGATTTTCAAATGCAAGAGGAAAAGGAAGGCAGACCACTAACAGTGTGTCGCCTGTGTCCTCCCTCAGGAAGGAGCCCCGGGCCTCTGGTCTTTCAGCATCTCTCCCGCTCACAGTGCCTGCTGTGTGCTACAAAACGGATTTTGCTCTGGTCCCTTGGCAAGATCTCTTCTCGTGAATTCTCTGATAATGTCTCCACAAGGTTTCCATACACCAAAGAAATAGAAAACCAAAGATACCACAGAAAAAGTCAGAAAAACCTTACCCTCAGCTTCACCCCAGGGACCAAACGTTCAATGTCAGAGTTTGGCACTTTTTTTTTGCACATAATATGGTACTTTTATTAAAGAAATAATGCCATTACATAAGTTAACTTCCTGAAATTTTTGTACCGTCTTTTGACTAACAACCAGCAATTTAAGTCAAAGAAAATAGGAATATCGATGCATGCCAAGATTCAACTATACAGATGTTTGAAAACTGCTTTTGATGTTTTTTTAAAAATGAAAATAATCTGTGCATCAGTATAGCCCTGGTTAAATAATGGAACTGACAGAATATCATGGAGCTATTAAAAACAATGTTTCAGGAGAACAATATAGTAAGTGAAAAGTGTGGGTTACAAATCAGCACACAGTAAAGAAACAGACATTTATATATAAATGTTAATAATGGTTCTTTCTACAAAGAGCATTATGGGTGACTTTCAGTTTTCTTCTTCACATGTACTTGTGGGTTCTAAACCCCCTAAAAATACATGAATTATAAAACAAGTATATATACTTATATAATTACAAAATAATCTGGAAAAAACAATACTTTAGAAATCATTGGGAAAAAATAAGGTATTTCTAACATTGGATTACACAAAGAAGCTAAAAGAAAACTGATACCACCGCTTCTCTTGAGCAAGGCTAATTCTTAAGAAGGGTAAACTTATAGAACATGGCCATTTTCAAAATAATAGTACATTCAAAACCAAGAGAGTAATTGTAGAATTTTTTTCATATTTTCAATTAATGTGCCTCTTCTCTTTCAACTTTGAAAAGAAGTGAAGGTCTGAAAACAATGCTTGAAAATGATGAACAATGAGAAGGCTGGTACCAAAATTCAAGTACTTTAACTACTTGATTTGTATCATGATAGTCAACAAATATATTATTAGGTTTTTGTCTCTTCTGCAATTAGCAATATTCAATTTCAATACATAAATAAGGCATTTTTTAAATTGAAGTGTGTTTCCTATCACCAAAGTAGTTATAAAAATACTAGTGATAATTCTTCTAATTCAGGAACTTTGGCATTCATGTGAGATACACATTAAGGTACTTAGTAACCTTCTCCAATAGACCTTTGTAAACACAATTTGAGTTCTAGCTACCAGATAACATGCTGGTATTAAAAGATGATTGAACTAACATATTAAATAGGAACAACAAACTGGACTTCAGCTATTATCTTGAAGTATTTTTTACACTTTACTTTCTAACAGGATTTTAAACCTTGTATAACTAGAACTGTGTTGTGTTTTCTCCCTTTTAGTTATGGCTGCATTATTAGTAGCATTACATGTCACTTCCAAAGGGTAGGCCCTAACATTTACACACCTAATATTATAAAGTTTAATACCTTCATCAAATTTTGTTCCATATAGACCTCTAATTCAGGATCAGTAGTGTTATTACTTCCTAGCAGTAAGTCATATAACACCATACAAGCACACTGAAAGAGCTAAGTTTTTGAAACCTTGATTCATTACCAAATTAAATAATGGTAATGTTTAAAAGCGTATACATGCTTTTTTTTTAATCTGCTAAAAGGAAAGGAACTGCATTTCTAAATTGACTAAATGTTTCAACTTTAAATCAGGACAAATTTCAAAAATCAAAATCTGCCAAAAGCCATATATTAAATAGTTTAGTTCCCAAATCTAAATAAATTGGTGCAAAATATCCTGAAACTATTCAGTACCATCTTCCCTAGTCTTGTTTAACTGCCACCATACACTGAGATACACACATTCTACATATATTATTTAATAGTAATATATCTTTAAGAGCAAGATGTTACTCCGCCCCATATTTCATTATCATCTTACCCCATTCTGTGCCATCCCCTGAACTCCTTGCTTCTCCAGCTCCTTCACCATCTTCAGCAGTCGCTAAAAAGTCAAATTCTTTCAGTGCTTCTTCAGTATCAGGATCATCAGTAAGGTCAGCAGCTAAACCTTCATTACCTATTTTGTGTTTATTCATCCGATGTTTGTCTTTTCCTTCTGGCATGCCTTCAGTCATGTCGTTTTCCTCTTCATCACTGTCATCAGCATTTTCTAAATTGAATCTCTCCAGAACATCACCAGAGGACCTTTTAATTTCTTGTCCTTTTTTGCTTAGGAGATTCACCTCCATTCAGGATCTGTTCTAAATTCTTTGTTTCTACTGATCCATTTGCTTCTGAATTGGATAGTCCAAGTAATAACCTTACCCGCTGAGACCGTACATCTAATATTGTACTGTATAACCTACTTCCTGAAGATACTGTCTTAATAGCTGTCTGCCTTGCTTTCATGTTAACTGGCTATTCTGAGGTGGTGTGGGAGCCTCTGTGTCTTTGGTTTTCTTCTGATTCAAAGGCTGGCATTTTCAAATCACCTTGGTTCGGTTCTGTGCCATATTTTAATTTATGATACTTTGCCCTTTCTTGTTTTAATGCATACTCTAACATCTTTATTCTTCTTACTAAATCCTTCTTCAAGTTTTCTTGACCTTTTCGTTCTCCTTGCAAAAATGCAATCCGAGCCTGCAGTTCGGCCCGCTGCACTTCCCAGTGCGCCCGCTCCATCTCGAACCGAGCCCCCTCCTGCTGAATGTAGTGCAGAATCCCGGGATAGTGTACTGTTGAGGCCGGGACAGCTCTGGGCCTGCCGCGGGACCCGCTCCCTCTGCAGCAGAGGACTCCCGCCGCCCGTCGCTCCATTCCCCGCTGGCGAAAGGCTCATGTTCCCCCCAGGACCCTGCTGCTGCCGCGGAGGGGCCGCCATCCCCGGCCCGCCACCACCGCCTGTGGCGAGCTCGTCCATTGTGTGTGGAGCCCCGGCCGGGGCGCAGGGCGAGACGCCGATGGCTGGGGGAAGAGCAGGGGAGGGCGGCCCCGCGCTGGCGGCGGGGCGGATGCCGGATCAGAATTTAGCACTTTAAAAAAAAAAAAAGGACGCGTTAATGGAAAGCAAGCAAATCAAACCAAACAAAAACAGCCCACTGGTTCTTTGTCCCTTCCTGATCTTTCTTTCTTTGAAATGAAAATTGCATCTCAGAAATCAAAAACAAATAAAATCTCCAAAAAAACATAAAATTCTCCTCCATTCGCTTCTAGCACTGAGCCTCCACCCAGTGCCCAATGCTGCATTCAGCAGATAACCCCTTCCAGCAGTAAAAAGCTCCACACCCTGAAAAATCAGTCATTCTGAAAGCTGGGGCTTCCCACGGGTAACGTCAGAGATTATCAGTCAGGCAGAAATGTTCACATCCATTTTCCCATTGTTGTGAGGCCTTTTGTTAACACAGCTTTGTCTTTGCAGAAAAGGCACAATGCCCTGCTTTATGGGGACATTTTATGCAAATAGCAGTAAACTGTGTGAAACTACTCATGTCAGTCACTGTAGCCCAGGAAAACATGCCTTATGGAAGGATTTTCACTCCACTACCAAGTCACCTCATGTGGCTGTCAGGCCATTGAAGGGTTGACACCACATATCTCCACCCCAGGTGAAATGATCATGCTCTGAGCAGGCTGAGTTCTCAGTGGTCACCCAGGTTATGGGGGGGCTCTATCCAAGGGACTCCTTGTCTCCATTCCTGAGGGTGAAAAGTGGGTCAGCTCCTGGGGCCAATCTAACACTAGGAGCCATGGGATTTCAGAGCTGGAAGCACCATCACAGTATCTCCCCTTACATTCATAAGGAACCGGAAGCCAGGGAAGGTCAGGGCATGGTCCTCAGTGGGAGAGCCCATTCATAGTGAATCAGGCCCAGAATCTTTATTTATAGGCCACATATTGTCTATATCCATTCATTTTCCTTAATAAGTAAAAATTAGTAAGGTCGGAGCACTATGCTGGGCTCCAAAGAGATAACAAAGCATAAGGTACAATCTCTACCCTCAAAAGATGTTCACAGTCCAGAAGGGGAGGCCGAAGTAAAAAGACAGTTACAGAGAAAGGCTGAACAATGTCAGTGCCTATCACCAAGGAACTGGTTAAATAAATTGTGGTACATCCATATTGTAAAATAGCGAGCAGTTGTTCCAACAGTCCTGGGTGGATCTTCCTACTAATGTGGCGAGATCCCCAAGTCATATAGCTGGTTGAAAAAAGCCAAGTCTGTATTTCTCAAAGGTAAAAATGAGAGGTTGGGATTTGATCAACAGCTTTTCAACCTGATTTTGAAGTTATGGTAAAATACACATAACATAAAATTTACCGTTTTAACCAATTTTAATTGAGAAGGCTTGAAAACCACTAGACTAGATAACCCCTGGGTACCTCCCAGGTAACAGGCCATATTTACGTGTAAATAAACTACCAAATAAAATATAAATAAAAATACTACCAAAGTGTAATCTGCATAAAGGAGAAGCTAGTTATCATAAAGAAATGTTCATCAGTTTATTTTCAAAAGGCTTTCTGTGATGCTCACTTCCTTCCAGGAAGACCCTTCAGTTTAACATGTAAGTCAGATTTATGCAGTACTCTTCTGAAACTCTGTGACAAGTTTGTCTTACTCATGTGTTACTGGATTCTTGTAGTGAATCTGAGTGCTCAGCAGACCCTTTAGTGCTTGGTTAAGTGTGTTCATAGGGTTTAAAAAATAATTTGCTATGGAAGTATTCTTGTAGTACATTGATTGCAAAATTTTCCATAATTTCTCCCCTAAATGTGACCTTGTAGCTCCTCCCATCAAGAAGTGGCATTTGTTTTCCATTCTCTGAGTCTGGGCTGGCCTTGTGATTTGCTCTGATCAACAGAAAGAGGGGGAAATGGTGTTGCCAGTTCAGAGCCTCATTTCTGCCCTCATTCTTGGAATCCTGTCTAGCCACAGTCAAAACAAGCCTGGTCTAGTCAACCTGATAATGAAAAACACGTGGTTCTGTCACCTTGTGGCTCCAGCTCATAAGCAGCCATAGTCACACATGTCAGTGAAGCCATCGTAGCCAGTCAAGCCCCAGCCACCCTAACCAATGAGTGCAGATATACGGGCGAGCCCAGTGCAGGTCAGGGGGATGTCCATTTTCCCATGGCCTCAGGGGTAATGATGGATGCTTCTTGTTCCGGGTCACTGAGACATCGGGTGGTTTATTACATGGTGATACCTGACATTATCACCAACTACTTCTTTTTATTTTATTTTATTTTATTTTATTTATCTATTTACTTATCTTTATTGAGGGATTATTGATATACACTCTTATGAAGGTTTCACATGAAAAACAATTTGGTTACTACATTCACCCATATTATCATGTCCCCACCATACCCCATTGTAGTCACTATCCATCAGTGTAGTGAGATGCCACAGAGTCGCTATTTGCTTTCTCTGTGCTACACTGTCTTCCTCATGATCCCTCCCATACAATGTGTGCCAATCATGATACCCCTCAATCCCCTTCTCCCTCCCTCCCTACCCACCTAACCTCCCCCACCCCTCCCCTTTCGTAACTACTAGTCCCTCTTGGAGTCTGTGAGTCTGCTGCTGTTTTGTTCCTTCAGTTTTGCTTCTTTGTTATACTCCACAAATGAGGGAAATCATTTGGCACTTGTCTTTCTCTGCCTAGCTTATTTCACTGAGCACATCCTCCAGCTTCATCCATGTTGTTGTAAATGGTAGGATTTGTTTGTTTCTTATGGCTGAATAATATTCCATTGTGTATATGTACCACATCTTTATCCATGCATCTACTGATGGACACTTAGGTTGCTTCCATATCTTGGCTATTGTAAATAGAGCTGTAATAAACATAGGGGTGTATATGTCTTTTTGAATCTGAGAACTTATATTCTTAGGGTAAATTCCTAGGAGTGGAATTCCAAGGTCAAATGGTATTTCTATTTTTAGTTTTTTGAGGAACCTTCATGTTGCTTTACACAATATCACCAACTACTTCTTATAATGAAACCCAAAATGACAAGAAGGTGGTAAAGAAAAGATATCAGTCCTGGGATCTTACTGGATCCTCTACAATTTCTCTCTCTCTCTCTCTCTCTCTCTCTCTCTCTCTCTCTCTCT